TGAATATGCCAAAAACTTCACACCCTACATCCGTGTGTGAAAAAGAAGGCTACAGGGTGTTAGAAAGAGAGAGAGAGGGTGAGAGATAGGGATAGGTATACTGAGACCTCTTGAAACTTGTAAGCCGCAGGGAAAGGGGGTCGCCTTCGCAACGCCGCCCTCACATTACGCATAAATTTTGCACTTTACAAATTTGCCACGCACACGTTTGCGGCATTTTGTAACACATTTACGCAGTCCGTCGAAGAGTGCTGGTGGGAGGGGGTGGTAAGTGGGCGGGGCAGGCGGAAAATTAGGAGGGCTCGAGGTAACTACATATGTAAAACGTGCGCCATTTGTCAGGCTGACAGGCGGGCACAAGGTGACACAGCTCGAGGGCCCTTCAAAACTACATACAGCGCCCACAGCGAAACTAGCCGGCTTTGAATACCCTAAGTATTCAATATTAAATGAAACTTGGCGAGACATAAATCAGATCAAAATTTAAGATAGAATAGCTTATAACAGACCAAAATCAGATCCAAATTTAAGTTAGAATAGCTTATACCATTTACATGTGGACATGAAAGCTTAAGTCCATAAATGATACTACTTCCCTTCCCTTTTAAATTCAATTTTATTCATTAATTTCATAGTTTACACCCTTTGAAAGTTTAATTTTCAGGTGAAGCAAAAGTGAACTTTTTTTTTATTCCCTCAGGGAATACATTCTGTGTCTTTGGTATTAGCTTGTGCAAGAGTGTGGTGATTGGTAAGAGCAAGCTAGCAATGTAAACAAGCACTGCACTAGTAATCAACTTTCTTATATGCCGCTAGACCAGAAACCCATCCGAACCCACCTCCTTAGTCGCATGTGGCATAATGAGCTGGGTCGAAATGCTTGAAGTCCCGAAAACTCCGCACGCTATTACATCAGCAGCTATGCGATTCGCTATCTAACCCAAAACGCGTGCACACACAGTTACATAACAAATTAGAATTGGGTCTAGCAACCACACACTCACACTCAAACTTTCACACATCCCGTATTACCCCGGCCACGTGGCGTATGCGTAATGCGTTACCATGTATAGTAGTGTTCTTCCTGCCGCCGATGATGTTGCCTCTTGTAGCCTGCGGTGCTTGTAAACTTGTAGCCCTGTCAAAATGTCAAAAATTTTCGAGGGTAGTCAACGCTGTTTTCCATTTCCCATTTCGCATTTTCCGCACCTTCACCCACTTTTCTTCGCACACAGTCAACGATGAGAACGCGTTAAATGGGAGGGCAAAAAAAAGTACGGTAGCCGAAAGTGTAATTGGGCGTCGCTGGGGTTAATCGGTGTTACGGCATGGGCGCGATATTTTCAACGATGTTCCGCCCCCGCCACTTAGTTTTAATTAGTGGCTTACATTTCATGCAAAAGATATGACTAAATTGGTTTCCCGAAATGGAGCAGCTTCAAATGCCAAAATGGGTGCTAAAATGCCCTCCGCAAATTATTTCCCAAGGCCTACACGTCGACCTTTTTCGATGTTTAAAGCGAAAAAGTGTTTAATATTTACAAGGAATACTATTTTAAGTGTTCCATTTAAAACTAGTTAGTTTGTTCCTTGGAAGAAAGACAGAATATAGCTTTTACAGAATAGACCTGACTCGTCAGACTTAATACCCCCTTAAAGAGGCTGATAATATTTAATGGGCTTTTAAAAGTTCTCCCTTCACTTTGACGAAGACTTTTAATTTTCCCTCTTTCTCGAATCCCAACCACAATGATAATTTTCCCTTCGCTGCTTTCACTTTTGTTGCGCCACTCGGCACTCGACCTATTCCATTTCCCCATAAATTTAAGAAGGAAACACCCCAACGAAGACTACAAAAGCCGTGATGGCAACAACGCATATATTTGTAATTACATGCAATTCATTAAAGTGTAAATACAACATAAAAAAACTTGTTTATTAACAATTACAAGTGATGAAAGATACTCGACTAAATGTTGACTCGTTAAAATGCTTTAATACAAACCGCAAGAGTGTTTTGAAAATCAATTATACTAATGCATACTGGCTTAAAATGCATTTCTAAAGGATGTCTTACCGTTTTTTATGAAAAAGAAGACTTAGCTCAGATATGAAAGAAACATAAACGGTTTCAAACCATTTTGGATTTTATTAAAGACACAATGGTTATATTTTCGTGACATCTAGATGGTCGTATACAACCAATTTGCTACCCTTTATGGGAGTGAAACTGATTCTAAAGGAACCGCAGCTAGAAGCGGCTATTACTTACCAACCCCACCTGCCATCCCACCCTTTTTTTACACAGGATGTGCGCAGACAACAGGCATTTAAATTGTCATGGCAAGCAGCCTAGACGACAGCCGACTACAAGGACACGCAGAAAGGCTTGTCGCTGGTCTAAAAGTGGGTGGCAGAGGGGCGGTTGGGTGGTTGTGTCTACTCGCTTGGCTGTGCTTTTTGTGCGAAATGGGGGAAAAAAATTATAACAGCCTGACGGAGCGGTGGCAAACATATTTACACCTTGTTGCCAGCCATATGCTTAATGAGCAAAATGCCAAGATGAAGGATAAATATGGAGGCGGGCAGGCTGAAAGGCACAGGATGCCTGGCTGCCTTGCAATTGTAATTTTTGTTAAATTAACACGTTGCCAACTGTTGCCAGACGTGTGGCAAGGTTTCCTCTTTTGCTTCTTGCAGGAAGTTGTCAAGTGGCGTCGGCATAAATTCAATTAGCAAAGTGGCCTCGAGTGGCAACGTTTGGTGGCGGAGGCAGGGATAAAATAGCTTTAAGATGCCGGGATCTCCTGATCCTGCACAATATATTAGCTTCTGTGCATGGGCATTCGCATTTCGTTAGCCTTTTTCGACTCACAATCAGCGCAGTGAAGCGCACATCCTGTCAGCCTGAATGATTGTCCGGAGTGCCGAGTCCCGCTCTTGATTTAAACCGAAACTGAAATGCACACAAATGGATTCCGAACTTGACCTCGGCCACAGCCCTCGCCCTTCTTTACGGTTCACCCAAGCCAGTTTCTATTATTTTGTGAGCTTTATTTATACACGACTGAGGATGGGGATGCGCCCCAAAAAGTTCACTGCGGGAAAAGCCTAGAATATCTGCCTTTTTTATATAAGCCTTAGCAGGATGGTGGGAAATTATTTATTTATATTTCGGGGTATTTCTTTTTATTTGTATGTGCCTACAATATTCCTGTCCAGCACATATTTATACCCGTTACTCGTGCAGGTAAAGGATATACTAGATTCATTGTAACATATATGTATGTAACATATAAAAGTATATTCTTGATCAGAATCAAAAGGCGAGGCGAACTGGCCATGTCCGTCTGTCCGTCCGTATGAACGCCTCGATCTCAGGAACTACAAAAACTAGAATGTTGAGATTAAGCATGCAGTTTCCAGAGACTTAGACGCAGCGCAAGTTTATTTCCAAATGTTGCCACGCCCATTCCTACGCCCACAAACCACCCAAAACTGTCACACCCACACTTTTGAAAAATGTTTGGTATTTTTTCACTTTTTTATATATCTTGTAAATTTCTAAAGTTTTGCAAAAAAACTTTTTGCCACGCCCACACTTTTAAAAAATTCTTAATTTTTCTTTTCATTTTATAATTTTTTTCCCTAATTTCTACTAAAATTCCAGAAAATGTTAAAATTTCTCGTTTGCACTTCCACTAGCTGAGTAACGGGTATCTGATAGTCGGGGAACTCGACTATACAATCTTAGCTTGTTTATGTTATAATATTGCAACATTTCTAGCAGTGCTCTTTTTTATCCCCCATTTTGCTGAAGTCAATTTTGGTTTGCATTGCCATGATTTGATGCGTGGCTGTGAGTGGGTGTACGCAAACCCAGTTGGTGGTTGAGATTTTGGCTGTGGGCTATTCGCCATTTATGCGCGACCCGTTGGCCTGGCGACAACATCTTTCGATTTGCACCTGCAATTTGCCAACGGCAACCACTAAAATGTGTCACTAAATGCTCAGCACGCGAAACGGCTCTGCACTCTGTGCACACAGAACACCACCCTCCAGCCGAGCAGCCAGCAATCAACCAAACAAAACTCAACAATGCCGCGGGCTTAGCTTAGGATAGGGTATTAATGCATGGGTTATGAGTTCTCTGCGCTATTATACATCCTTTATGATGTTCTTCGAATGGAAGGATAGGAAAGTTTCGGCTGTGGTTCCATAAGAAACAAACTAGGCAGATATTCTACCAAACCTAAACAATTCAGCCTTTTATTTATTACTAAACATGAAGTCAAATAAATTAGATTGTGGACATAACTGATATACTACACACTTAAGTTCAGTTAATTTGTAAGTATATATCAGCTAGCAGTTAGGGAACAGCCATATTCGTTGCTTCCTAAGTATTCCCCAGCTACCTGCTTTTAGTTCTTAGTTGGTTATGCATTTGTTAAGCTCGCGAAAAGAAATTGCAACTCTAGCTGGCTTTTTTCCCTCGGTCTCTGGCTTTGAGCTCCTGCCTTACAACTGCTGGTACTACACGCCCAGTAATTGCCATTGCACTTGTTGTAGATGTGGTGCTTGTAGTCCTTGTCCAACGCCTGTCACGCCCACCAGCCGGCTTGCCCGTTAACCGCCCACAGAAAGACCGCCTGCACCCGCGGAGCCACTAAAAACAACCGCAACACAAAACTATTTTGTTCACGCAATGCGAAATGCATTGTTGTTGGCGCTCTCTAGCCGCTGGCATTTGGCGTTACGTATACGCAACGTATGCCAGGGCGCAATTTGCATTTGTATGCACATTGTTGTTCGGCGGGCGCGGCAGTGGGCGTAGACTTTGGCTTGGTTTCCCTTGTAATTGCTTTAAACGTCATCATCACAGCCTCTTGCTCCGCAGCTGAATGCATTCATTGTTGTTATTGTTGGACCCGGCGCTTTGTTTGGCCCCTAACTGAAGTTTATTACATTCGGTTTTGATTTAGCAATCAGTATTGAATTTAGTGCTGGCATTGTTACAAAATTCAAGTTTTAAGCCTATTAGGCAATGAACAATCCATGGCGCGAAATCGGCTTTGTTAGCAAGCACAGGCCAAAGAAACATGTTAAAATCATTAAGATCAAGAAACGCATCGCCAAGTCAAAGAAAGTCTTCAAGCAAAGGCAAATTGAATTGATACAACTTCATTTGAGAAATCGTATCAAGCATTTAATTATTGAAAAGCTGGAGCGAAGATTGGCAGATATTCAAACTAAGAAAGGGATTCAGAAAACCGCAAAATAACATCAACCGAAGTTCTGGAGGAAAATTATCGTAATTTTATTATTAAGAAATTACCAGATAAGAATTGATACTGCCAATTTAATTTCCAAAACAGTTTCACATGAAATTGGTAAATTTCCAAATCAAAAGCGAACATAAACAATAGATAGAAGTAAAATCAATTTCCTTTGTCTGCTAGCCCATTGAGATGATTAAAATTTGAACTAAACTCTCGTTGGACGGCGACCACAAAATCATTTTCAAACGGAGCTCAATAAAAATCAAAGCCACTGAAGAATCATCATCGCATTGAATGCTGGGAATCGGAGCCGAATGGTAACTTGCACAGCATTAATAAATATTTACAGGCACGTCGCGTCCTCTTCAATGGAATGGCCTACTGGGCAGTTCCAGTCTCAGTTCTGGCAATGAAATCAAATCAAATATGCGCGCTGACGCTTTATATATCGCACCGAAAAGGCATCTACCAGCATCGTTCGCTTTTGGTGTGCTCACAAGAATTTAAATCATCCGACTTACATGCTACTTACAAGCCAAAGCGCCTATATGTATGCCCCATAAAATGCGAGCAAGACCGAGTGCAGAATGGGCAAGTGGATATATATTAGACATCACTGACCAAAATAAAGTTCGCAAATATTGTATTCTGAAATTTGGGCACATTTCTAAGAATAGAATGATTATTCCAGAAGTTTAGTATTAGACTATGATTCTTATTTCTGGCCTAATTATTCCATATTTAGAATAACAAATAAAAACAAATTTATATTTACCTCTTATTAAACGAATTAAGTAAAAATTAGTTTTCCAATCTTGAGCGGATACCAAGAACGTTCTTATGGAAAGGCTAGGAATGGGAAATATACTTCCCTGACACATTATATGCAGTTTCTTGCAGTGCCTGAAAATCCAAGGGGTCAGGGTAAGCGAACAGAGTGGCGAACAGTCTCTGGCGGGCAGTTTTTGGACAACGCAGCAGCCTGAGACTGACATCGCCCCGGATAGACAGATAGATAGATGGCCGCCCCCATTGGCCACCCACTTTGGTTTCTTGGGCGGACTGCAACAAAAACGATGTTATTATTCGGCATTCGGACGGTCTACGTTGGTGGCAGGGTCTTTGCCTTCTTATGCACACGGAATTTTTATGAGTTAATTTAATTTATAGTTTTATTATTATGTTCAGGGCATAATAATGGGCAAACGGCGCGAGTATCGCTGCCCTCAGTCGTTGGGGAAGTCGTTAAGCTCGTCCTTTCATGCACTTTTCAAGTGTGAATCGGCACACGACGATTGCCGCTTCTTACTCCAATTTCTAGCCAGCTTTTGTCTTCGTCCATACTCTTCTGGCCAAGCAACTTGTAAACAAGTCGAAATGGCGCATAAATTTAATTTAAACGCCGGCATGCCGGATAGTATGCTACAATTTTTGCACTGTTGATTTATACGCTAATAAAAGCAATTTCACTGAATGCCAAATGAAAACAGCTCCACAAGCGGAGTAACTGACAGCCAAAAGGGAGTGAAAGCAGGCAGAGAGTGAGTGGAGAAAGTCGGTAGAGAGAAGGCCGATGGCCTGCCATTGACATCGTAGACAAGCTGTTTAAGTGGCTCGTTCCTCGAGCTTCTGGCGCGTACATTTTTGGCCATTTTGGCGGCCCCACCAAGCTTTATTTACACAGCAAATTTAATTATTTACTCTGACTTCTCGACTTGAGTTTGTGGGCGAAACTAATGGATTGACCGCTCCATCTTCACCGTCAGTCTAGCATTATGATTAACTTTGCCCTTAGCCCTCAACTTGAATTCTATGCCACTTTAAAGTTGCTCTATTAAAGCATTAATATTGCAGGCAAAATCAACGAATTCTGGCTGGCATGCACATTTTTTGGTTAATATTGTTTACATTTTAATAACATGAATACCTAAAATGCATTTTACATGCACATTTTCGGGCAATTTTATTCAATATTTGCATGGCAAAAAAAAAATAAATAACATATGTATTAATTTTGCAACACCTAAACAAATGGCCGAATCGCTGGCGCTAACAATAAAATATTGGCACTACTGCTGGATGACTTTCAAATGTTTTAAAGGCGCCTTAAAACACGGAACGCAAAACACTGTTTAACCGACGAGAAAGTAACGAAAATCGGGGAAAAAAGTGAGTCAGTTCCTGAATATTTCACCTGATACATGAATAAAACGAATACGCACACTCATGCCGTTGGGTATTATGTTTTAATGAAGCAATAAATTTAAAATCCGCCGTTTTTATTGTGGAAATTCCCGCACTCATGTGGAAGAGCGAGAGAGCAATATGGGTCTGCGAGGTTGGCGAGTTCGTTTGTATAAATACATAAACCTTTTTAAGCTGTCAAGTGATATGTCAAAATTGATATCCGAGTCATTTAAAATGCATGCAAATATGGCGCATCGACAAAAAACCGAGCAAGCCATCTCAACCCGAAGCTCAGCAAAGAAAGGAAGGCGTTATAGGAGTGAGGAGTAAGGATAAAGGAGTGGCAGGACTCAAACACGTAGCAAACAGGACTCTCAGCACATTTGCATAAATACGTTTACGTAATGTGAAATGTCAGCGACAGCGTAAAGGACTTTGCTTGCCCCCGAAAAGGAGAGAAAGACTTTCACTCCGCAACAAAAGAAAAAAAAACAGAAACGCACTCAGTGCCAGTAAGCCTCAGTCACTTGCTATTTTATTTTTTTTTAGTGCAATTTTTCAGTTCGAACTCGGTCTATTTTTTTTTCCTGACTCCGCTGCATTGAAATTCATAACACATCTGATGCATAAACGCCCCCAAGCTGGCTATGGAAATTTCACGCATTTTATTGACACTGCAGGGGGCGTGGCACAGCCTGTTCGCGACATCAGTGGACTGCCAGTAAGAAAAATAAAGGGCGGAGGAAAAGCCAGCGGGAAAGGCAGTGCAGCGTCAGCGGGAGCTCAATGATGGATTTATTAATTATAATTTTACTTTCATCTTGCCGCCCATATTATTACTGCTACAAGGAGTCATGTTGTTCTTATAGATGAAGTTCTGTGTTTCTTGCCTTGACATTTAAAACTACCAAGGTAGCAAGTGTACAATTCTTCTGAAAAAACGAGGGACAATTATGTCTTTAATATCTTAAAACCATAATGTAACTTTTCAGAATCCTTCAACGAACACCAAACCATGAAATGAATACGAAAATAAATTATGTAAATATAAATACACAAACGCCCTTTGCTGGACGCAATCGCAAAGGGAAACAATAAATGAAAGAATTATTTTAATTGGGGAAATATTCTTAATTGGTTATCAACCAAAATGCAAGATGTCAATGCCGTGTCAGATTAAAACTTGTAAATGTAAAATATAGTACATTAACACAATCTCTTTAATACATTGATTTTCGAACTTGCCCTACTTAAAATCCCATTAAACATTTCATACATATATGTCTATCCAATCGCCTGCAGCGCGACTTTCTCATTTCTGAAGCACCTTTCACTACTTAATACGCAGATCGGTGGCAACTCCTTAAAGTCGGCAAAGATATTTCCGTCTGCATTGCCTTGCCTCGCCTCGCACTTCACTTCATTTTCCCTGGTTGCATTTGGCTTCAGTTTCCACGTCCGCTGTTGCAACCTCATTTGCTCCTTCATCTTTCAAAAGCTTCGGTGCCCTCATCCAGTTGCCTACGTTCACTCCATCCTTGTCAGTCTGTCTGATGGCAACATATGGAGGCACATACTCCGCATTGTTGCCGCTGCGCGTATGGCTGGTGTTCTTGCAACGACACTAGTCTGCAGAACTGGGAAAGTGACTAAACGTTTTGTTTTAAATTTTGCCAACTAGTTGTGAAGGCACTTAAATAATAAGTAACTTTCTAGAAATCAAAAAAAAAAATTATATAAAAAACGTATGCTTTGTGGAATGTTTAATGTAGGCCAGTGTTATTTCCGGCTGCATTTTTGGGGCGCGCACAAAACGTTGATGCATTACTTTCAACTTAACGCGTTTATTGTGCAATATAACGCGTTACACACACACACATACACAAGCAAATTCGCGTAGTGGCAAGTGAAGAGAATGAGGGTGAGCGGAAATGCTCCTATGCCATCGCAAAATGTTGCTTATGAATTATTATGAGCCCCATGCACGCATTTTGCATTTGGCAACATTTTATGGAACCGAATTTTGTTGCTGCCCCTGTCTGCCACACATTTGCCAGCGAGCCAGCGAGCCAGACAGGCAGCCCCGAAAAGTTTCGCCAGTTTTTGGTGCAACCCATGGGTGCAAGTCGCAAGTTGCAAGCAGCAGGCTGCAAGCTGCAACCATGACCAGCCATGAGCCCTCGCTTTTGGGCCATTTATGAGTGATTTGCCAACTAGTTTTGTTGGCCACACCGCATCGTCGCGCGTCCCAATTTAGCCGCTGCCGAGCTCCAAACTTATTTCCAAGTGCATAATTCATTGTTTCGCCCACATTATTTTCATGTCATAAGTTGGGCAGCTGTTTGCCAGGACCTCCACAACTCCACAGCTCCACTGCTCCACTGCTCCGCTGCTCCCGCAATCCTCTTTTGCTCCACTCTGTCTCTTTGGCAATTGGCTACAAGGCATATGGAATTAGTTCTATTTTAGTTGGCAACTGCCACTGTCACTGGCAATATTCAACAAAACTTCTCGCGGCGTGCAATGGAAATATAATTTCGCAGAGCATTTAATTGAATTGTTCAGCTTTGGAAATGGCAGCTAAAAAAAACGTAAATGCAAAAGTACACGGCAGACAGATGACATTATAGCATTCAATAAGAGTTTACTACACAAGGCAGTGAACAGAAAGAAAGTTGTATAAAAAGGTGAGTTGATTAATTTTTTTTACTTATATTCCATTTGCAACAACTCGATTAATTAGGAGAATAATTCAAGCGAAATGCTTTTATCTTGTCCTTCCTAGAATGCAACTACATTTGAAATTCCGCTGTTTTAACATCCTCATATGCTCCTTCAAAAGAACCACCTTGTGCGCTTTTGGCCAGAGTTAAATATATTTTTCCTGTTTTTGCTCACGCTTAATGCATTTGGCAAATCTAGTTAGTTGCTGCCGGCAAGTGCAATTTTTGCACCATTTCCACAGCGGAACTTTGCAGCTCAACCAAGCAGGAATCACGGGTCCAGGGGGCTAAATGTCTAGGTATAGTAGGTGTACAGGGTACTGGCACTGTGCA